CAAATAGAAACTGATAAACCTCCTTGAAATCGGCATGAATCTCTTCAATCTTCAACCTTAGCGCCACATAGGATATCATAATATTCCTAGAATATTATGCTTCTTCTAAATCTTAAACCAATCCAACAGCCCATCCCAACACAGTCACGATGTCAAATGACTCTGCATAGGACATCTTTATTCAACATGTTTCTTCTGAATGATAGAATGTCTTAGTTTATCGCTTCTAATTTCTTCATTTTGGATAACCCATATAATTACTTAATATTTCCAGAATATTAAGTAATTTAAATTACCTGTATCCAACATGTGACAGACCAGATGTCCTACTCTTCTGGTTAGGACATCATATACTACATGTTGAAACCGCCAGTTGAAACATCTTATTCAACATCTTTCTGATAAGTTAGAGCATCATATGTTCTGCCTAATTTGTCTTACTAAAATTCATGTCAATCATAGAATATTGAATTAACAATCTCCCCCTTTGTTAAATTTTGGCTACAACAAATTAATAATATATAGTTCAGAATTCAGCAACAACATTTTTAAAGACAAACAAACATCCATCACTTATCACATATATTTTTTAGCTTGAGTTATTTGCAGCTGAGAGTGGTCTTCACAGACTGCTCAACATAGCAGTATAGAGAATAATATACTCAATCATGTGGGTGTTAGGACATCATGCTCAACATCTCTTCACTGCAGTCCAAATTTTAACCACTGCACCCTTTCAGCAGAGAACCAAAATATTATCCCCCTTTACAACAACATCATCGTAGTAGAAACATAGATCCAATAGACATGTTCACCCTCTTTCTATATAAACACTAAGGATGTACTCATAACACGACATGGTGTATATAAGGAAGAAGATTATTGAAACTCCCCCTTAACCCAAGAACAAATCTTCCCCATAGGGAGCATAAGAGGACACTTAAGAGGCATAAGAGAACCATTAAGGACATACCAAACACCAAGCTGAAAAGACCAGATGATAACTTAGGGGTGCATGTTTTGGCCTCAGGTAACTCAGAACACAAGACACAATAGTGTTCATAACTCAGATCACAAGACTCAAAAAGAAAAGTCAGAGCGAGAAAGAAAAACCAAACTCAGATACTCTATCCAACATCCGTGCAAAGCAACTTCAAGGAGACTCTAGTCTTAAAGGAAGAAAAAAAAAGACATGACCTTTATCCCCATTTTTAGCCAAAAATTTACAAAGATATCCCTCAGAAAACCATATCCAGATTGTACTCACCCAGATCTGGACAAAATCCATAAGAGCTTTGAAGATAAAACACCAAAGCAAGATGATAGAAGAAACATAATAACCTCTATAAATAGATGTGCAATTCTTTAGGAGTTAACGATCCTTGACTGTAACGATTGTCTTGGTAAAAAAGGCGTTATTTAAGGAAGCTAACTGCACTAAAGGTAAATGTACACTGTCCATGTCAGTTTTGAATGCCTTTATTGACTCTGGACAGATTCTTATGAACCTAATAGTCCCAATATATGCGCATGCATAGTCAAAGAGAAACACATGTCATATTCCCTCCCGACTTCTTGATCACACTGTCCAACTTGTTAATCTCACAAGAACCAGGTCCTGAAGAATGTCCTGATATCTAGTCAGACATTGTCTAAAGAAGCTACATTTCTTCAATAAAAAAGATATGATGTTTCACAAACACACATGTTCTTTCACAGGAATCTAATCATATTCCTCTCAGTCAAAAATAGTGAAACATACCAAGATGTCAAGACCTTATATGTAACATTTTCCATTCATAATTCTAGACAACTTCTAAAGAAAAACCAACTATCATGATGTTATAAAATCATTTAGGATATTAGCTTCACATCAAAGAACCCAATCACCATCCAAAGGACTCATCATGCTTGGATGTCCTTATATCAAACTATACAAGAATCTCTCAATAAGACACACAACTTCAGCAGCTATCACACACCAGAGAACCACAGAGAGAAATAACTCTCATACACTTTCTGAATTACAGTATTCATATTGGAGACTTGCACACCTACATCAGTTACATACTTTGGGGGATACCACGAAAGGAATAAAGTCTACTATCAACAGTATTAGTTCAAAGTTAAACTACCCCGTTTACGACTTCTCTCCTAATCCATATCCAATGAAAATTCTACTTAGGTCTTTCCTAAATATGAGAAATCACCATCTCACTTCATAAATCACCTCTGTGATATCTAACGGCCACAACCTCTGGTGAGTGCATCAAACTAATTGAAAGACACCCCTTTCAAATAAAGTTTAGCAAAGAATCTTGACTAACAAACACACTTGCATTTTCTCCAAAGCTTCATCCAAGAGAAATATACAATTCATTACCTAAATGCTTTTGAATCTCTATAAATAATTATGTCTACCACAATGCATCAAAATGATACAAAGACTGACTTACAACACAAGAAAGTACACGACTCTCAAAACCCCAATCCCTTATATTTTCTTTACAAAAGTTTTGTTCACAGATTAGTTAAAAAGCCCTAGGCCTACGTCTTTCTTTTATAATCTTTAGCTATCCATGGGCTTCGATACAACATCGTATTAGTTGTTGGAAATCTGCAGTATCTTCTGCATAAAAATAAAGCTCCAATCATTTGTTTCCTAATTTGTCTCCATAAATAGAGACTGATAAACCTCCTTAAAATCGGCTTGAATCTCTTCAATCTTCAACCTTAGCGCCACATAGGATAGCATAATATTCCCAAAATATTTTTTTCTGTTAAATCTTAAACCAATCCAACGGCCCAACCCAACACAGTCACGATGTTGAATGACTATGCATATGACATCTTTATTCAACATGTTTCTTCTGAATGATAGAACGTCAGAGTTCAACATTTTTGATTTCTTCATCTTGGACACGCCATAGAATTACTTAATATTTCAAGAATATTAAGAAATTTAAATTACCTGTATCCAACCTATGAAAAACCAGATGTCTTTCTCTTCTAGTTAGGACATCATATACGACATGTTTAAATTTCCAGTTGAAACATCTTGTTCAACATCTTTTTGCTAAGTTAGAGCATCCAATGTTCTGCCTAATTTGTTTTACTAAAATTAATGCCAATCATAAAATATAGAATTAACAATGTATTTGTTCTTCAATCTTTTGATGGAATTGTTTCTGATATGAAGAGATGAATATTCCAGAAGATGTTTCCTTGTACTGTTCCCAAAAGTATTATAGTCTTCAGAACCAGAAAATAGTCTTCATATATGTAGTAGCAACTTATCTAACAAACAATTTCTTGATATCTGAACTGGAAGAAAATGTGTATCTAAGAACAATATTATCTTGATTTCTGATTGTAGAAGCAAAAGCATGATATCTGATCTTTGAAGCAAACGCTTGATATCTGATCGTTGAAGCAAAAGCTTGATATATGATCGTTGAAGCAAAAGCTTAATATCCGATCTTCACTGTAGATTCTTTTCTGAACACACTTGACTTCTGAAGCAACAGCTTATCTGAAGCAGTACATGTGGATTCAGTTTCTGGCGAACATTCAACATTCGTTATAACTACTGATGTTTCCTCTGAACTTAGTATGATAGTCTTTTTTTTGTGAGCTAAACACGTTACTGATGATTCTTCAGACAACAATCCTAAATCACTTTGAATATTTTATCTGCACACTTAAAGAACTATTAGATACCAAAATTGTTACATATATAATATATGTATTGTTATCATCAAAACTCATAGATTACATGTAGAACCAAATCTTGTGCATAGAGAATAAATCATATACATTTTTTAGTTGAAAATTGGAAAGGATAGAACACTTCAGAGAAAATATGGAGGATACTTACAATTGAGAAAATAGATGATGATAATTGAAAAAGATGGAAGAAGATAACATCAGATGTTTATAGTTAGTAATTATGGAAAAGATGAAAGAGAACATTGGATTTCTTATTGATGAATACAATTTTTTATGTTTTGAAAGTCTAAAGGTTATTCATGTATTAATATAATTTTAATTTTTGTATAATAAAAATCCTAATAATTAGATTATGGAAATAAAAAATTAATAACAATTATATCCACTTTGGTCCATTACGTATATCTCGGGGTCCATTTTAGCACATTTTCTTCTGAGCAATAATATGAGTGTTGCAAAAAACTCCAGTTTTGGAAGAATATGTCACTACATCAACGTCAAGTATATGTCAAGTGGCCATTCATTTTGACTTTGACTAATAGATCTAACAAAAAGAATTAATGTGCCACATTTATAAAAAAAATAAAGGATTTAATTAGTCATTTTAAAAGAAAATAGATCAAAATGAATTCAGAGGTATAAGTAAGGGATAAAATAGGTATTAAACCAAAAAATATTACTATCTGTTTTTTTTATTATAAGTCATTTTAGACTTTTCAAACGTATTAAGAAAATTAATGATTGTTGTATGAAAAAGAGAAATTATAAAGATTTTTGTAAAATTGTCTTTCATTAGTGGCATGTGGAAGATACATTTACATAACTGAAAGGAGATAGAATAATAAACATTTAAGGGTATAAAAAGAAAAATAGAATTATGTTATGAATAATTGGATGATTGTTTCCCAATTATTTTATTCCTTATTTATAAAAACTTGTATTTATTACAATGTCCGGATATTATCATATAAATAGGACCAATCTCATTGTAGAAATACACTGATGAAATAATACTGAATCATTCTATCTTTCTTTCTTCTCTTTATTCCTTATTTCTTTTTATTTTATAACACTTTATCAACTTGAAGCTCCAAGACTTAGAAGAATTAAGTATGTAAAATCTTGGAAAACTTGACTTTGGGGCTCTTGACATCTCTGGAAAGAATTTTTTGCCTTGGGCTCTAGATACTGAAATCCATCTAAATGCAGAAGGTCACGGTAATGCTATTAAAGAAGGAAATACATCATATGATCAAAAAAAGGAAAAAGCCATGATATTCCTTCGTCGTCATCTTCATGAGGACCTTAAAAATGAATATCTTACCATAACTGATCCATATGTTTTATGGAAAATTTTAAAAGAGATATATGCTCATAAAAAATTGATTATTCTACCAAAAGCTCGTTATGATTGGATGCATTTACGTGTGCAAGATTTTAAAAGTGTAAGTGATTATAATTCTACAATGTTTAGAATAATCTCTAAGATGACATTATGTGGAGAAAAAGTAACTGATGAAGATATGTTAGAAAAAACATTCTCCACTTTTCATGCATCCAATGTGCTTCTACAACAACAATATCGATTAAAAGGGTTTAACAAATACTCTGATTTGATATCTTATCTTCTTGTGGCTGAACAAAATAATGAGCTCTTGATGAAAAACCATGAGGCTCATCCCGCAGGTACATTTCCATTCCCAAAAGTAAATGTAGCAAGAAACACTCACTATGTGCAAAATCATGGTCGTGGTCGTGCGTATAATTATGCTCGTGGTCTTAATTTTGATCAAATCCACAATGGCAATCATAAGAATGCATCTTTTCACCAGAAGTTAAAAGATACTAAAAAGAATGGAAAAGGTGGTAAGAGTAGAAAAAATAAAGAAAATATTTGCTATCATTGTGGGGGGAAAGTTCGTTGGGGTCGCACTTATCGTACACCAAAATACCTTGTTGATCTTTATAAAAAATCGCTAAAAAGTACAAATACAAGAATTGAGACACATTTTTCTAATGAAGATGGTGATCCCGATTATGGAAATATGGATGTTAGTCACTTAGAGATTGGGGATTTCTTTTCTAATCTAGATGGAAAAATTGATCACCTTATTGGAGATGGAACTGTCAAGAAATAGAAGTTATAGAATTTTTCTATTTATTTTAGTTATAAAACTGATCACCTTAATTTAGACTCTTTTTTTTAAAAATGAATGTAGGCACTTGCGCTACTAATGAAGATATTTTCCTCAATAATAGTGCAACTACTCACATAATTTTCAAAGATAAAAAATGTTTCTCTTACTTAGTAAAGCGAAATACTGATGTCTACGCTATATCTGGCACCTCAAAAATAATTGAAGGCTCTGGAAGAGCCATTGTATTGTTAAGTGGAGGAACAATATTACACATTGAGAATGCACTATATTTCTATAAATATAATAGAAATTTATTAAGTTTCAAAGATATTCGTCTAAATGGCTACCATATTGAAACAAAAGATTATGGAGGTATTGAAAATCTTTGTATTATACAACAAAATTTGGACATAAAAAGTGTAATAGAAAAGCTACCGACTATTTCCTCGGGATTGTACTACACCTATATCAGTAATATTGAAGAACATGCCATTGTAAACCATAAGTTTACAAATAATAATAAATTTGTAATTTGGCATGAACGGTTGGACCATCCCGATTATATAATGATGCGTAAATTTATTGAAAATTCATGCGGTCATCAATTAATGAGTCGGGAAATTATTCAATCAAATTAGTTCTCATGCAACTCTTGCTCACAAGGGAAGTTGATAATTCGTCCATCACCAACAAAAATTGGAAATGAATCTATCAGTTTTTTAGAGCGTATACATGGTGATATTTGTGGGCCAATACACCCATTGTAACACCCCGATTTAATTAAGATTATTTTTATTTAAAATAATTATATGATATGATGTGTTTACTTGTGTTGACATATTTTATCATGTGATGTGATGCAATTCGGAAAATTAGAGGTTGAAGTGTTGACGGGTGTATGACTAAAAGTGTAGAGAACAAGGGGTGAATATAGAATATTAGTAATATTATTATTATTATTATTATTATTATTATTATTATTATTATTATTATATTATTATTATTATTTGTTATTAATTATTATGAATAAAATAGTGTTTATAATATTCATAATTAAATAAGTAATTAAGTTGAGGAAGGGCACTTTTGGGATATAGACATTAGGGGTCTAGAGGTCGATATAAGAAAACAAAAGTGAGAACACGACATATAAATCGTAGAACGAGAAAAGGCAAGGAGAAGGGAAAAGCTAGGGCAAAGAGGAATCCAAAATATTGGGAAGATCAAAGCTTCGAATCAAGGTAAGGGGGTGAATGGATTATATAATTGGTGATTTTACATGAGAGGATAGTGAGGGTTCCTTTCCCTCTTAGGTTGTTTTTGGTGTATTTGATGCATGATTAATCTTTGTTGAATTGAATGATGTTGTTGTATTTGATTGGAAATGAGATTGTGATGTTATGATTGTGAATTGTTGTTGGTGATTTTGTTGTTATGATGATGGTACCACAAAACCTCAACCTAAAACCTATGAGTAATAGAAATTAGGATTAGAGGATTTGATGATGAAAAAGGACTCGTAATTGGTGTACAAAAAGTATTACATTGTGATGAATTGATAGATAGTGAAACTATATGTGTAGATGACTTTTTAGGACCTGTAATGTGACAAAATCGTAGGAAAATTGGACTGGTATAGTGTAGAATCGCAAACAGGAAAACCTTGTTCGCAGAGTATCGTCAGGAGATACAGGTAGTGTCGTCGAGCGACGATGTTTTTCCAGGCAAAAGCAGAGGCGAGAAGGAGGCGAATTTTGGATGAGTTACTGGAGGGTTTCGCGCCTAGCTTCGCCGGGAGAAGGGTGAGGCGAGGGAAGTTTCATCGGGCGACATAGGGTTTCGTTGGGTGATGGATGCCAATAGCTGAATGTTGTATTGGACTTTCTTGAATCGATCATAACTTTAGTTTTAGGAATCCAATTGAAGTTCCATTTGAAGAAGTAGGTAGCTAACACCATGAACTATGATTTAAAGGATAATAATTAATGAAAAATATTATATTTCTAGTACCTAAGTTAGGATAGGAATATTTTCCCCCTCGTTTCACCGAAATGGTAAGTTGTTTATTGCGATGTTGTTTTGCTTACGATGCTGTTATGAGGTAATGTTGATGATTATGATGATAATGATATAGATGGCCTAAATTGGAACCATGATGAAGGCTTATACCTTGTTGTTGTATAACTTATGGTGTTGAATGATATTGTTGCATGCATTCATTTGTGAGGGCTATTTGCTCTGATGTTGGCCTGCAATGGCGTTGTGATGAGGGCTCATGCTCTGTTGTTTCCTAATTTGCAATATGTTGGGGGCTCATGCCTCGATGGTACCACATACATGTTGATGTAGGTCTCATTGCATTGCTTTGATGATCAAATTGATGTCGTATGATGCGAATAATGGTTGTTTATCATGTATTGTGTGTATGATGTGATTTACTACTCCTTAGCATGTTTTATTCACCGTGTGATTATTGAATGAAATTCTCACCCCTTTTGTGTTGTTGTGCATGTGCTCCTCGGGAGTACAGATAATCAGGTACTCGAGTAGTGTTTGAAGAGATGTTACCAGATCGAGTCTTAGGAGTCTCTCTGATATGTAACACGGGATTTGGGGCTTTTACTATGTTGTTGCATGATTTCAATTGTTGTACATTTACTATAAACTTGTGATGGACCATACATAGTGGAGTTTGATTTGTTGTTGAGGCTAGAATGCCATTGAACCTATTTAAGTTGATTTTCCGCTGCCGAATAAATATTTTAGATAAACGAAGAAATAAAGTGTTTTAAAACTTTATGGATTTTTGGATTATGTGACATCCCATTGTGGACTCTAATGCATTATTTTTCATGATTTTATATTATATTTATTAATTTGTGAAAATGGGGTGTTACAATTGGTATCAGAGTAGGTCGGTCCGCCCGACTAGGTTGTTGAGTCTTTAGTATAGTATGACAGTGGATTATTGTCGATGAGTTTCTTCTAACCGTTGTTTGGTGTTATGATGGGAAACAGAGAAATGGCTGGAAGAGGAAATGCTTCACTTGCTAGTGCGTTGCAGGCTTTGGCTTAGGCAATGCAGAATGAGCCTAATGCTGGTGGGAACGATGGAACTCGTGCTTTGGAAACTTTCTAGAGGAACCATCCACCTACGTTCAAAGGGAAACATGATCCTAAAGGAGCACAAGAGTGGCTCAAGGACATTGAAAGGATTTTTCGAGTCATAGACTGTTCTGATGCACATAAAGTGCGTTTTGGTATGCATATGCTGGCAAGAGAGGCTGATGGTTGGTAGGTTTCTACTCGCCAGAGAATGGAGGGCACTGATGATGCTATTACTTGGGCTTTGTTTCGTAAGGAATTCTTGGTGAAGTATTACCCAGAGAATGTCCGTGGGAAGAAGGAGATTGGATATCTGGAACTGAAATAAGGGGATTTATCGGTAACTGAGTATGCAGCCAAATTCGTGGAGTTGGAAAATGTAAAATCAAGCTTCTCAAATGAACTTTTGTTTTGATGAAGACAAACCATGATTGATAAAGAAGGAAAAGATTTTTGATCAAGCTCAAAGCATCTATAGACAAAGTCTTCAGTTCAAGCTCTTAGCAACTTTCAAGGTATAATGATAATACTTACTTTGAACTTAAGACATAGATGCTCAATGGTGAAAATAAATGTTTTAAAAATCCGTACTCAAGTTTTTTCTAAGTTAAAATTCATTTTTTTACTTGAGTGCAATCGATTTGCATATTAGTGCAATTGATTGCATGCTTCAATTTTTCAGATCTTTTTGCTACTGTTTCTCAGTGCAATCGATTTGCATATTAGTGAAATCGATTGCATGCTTAAAATTTTCAAAACATTTGCTTCTGTTTCTCAGTGCAATCAATTTACATTGCTTGTGCAATCGATTGCACTCAATCAATTTTTGCTACTGACTTCACATGCAATCAATTTACACTCTTGTGAAATCGATTGCACACTTAAAACTTTTGAAAATCTAGCTGTTGAAACCCTGTGCAATCGATTTGCATACAGGGTGCAATCGATTGCATGCTGCACGATTTTGAAAAACAGCAGCTTTGCACATGCCTATTCATAATACCTTTTCATGAAAACCTTTCACTCAATCTTGGCAATTGTTCATGATTCATTTACAGAACTTTATGATGTTTCAAAAAGGTGCTATGAACATATAAATACTCATTTTCAAAATCATTTTCAACACCTCTTCCAAATATTTTTTCTGAATTTTCAAAATACAAACTCAAGCTTTTCTTCACTTTCATACATAAGTTTTATGCACACTTTCACATATTGTTAACCAGAAAACTTTGAGCATTATATCTTGAGTCATTGTATAATATTATCATTGGAAGAGAAGATCATTCATTCATTAAATCACTCTAAGTGATCATTACTACTCAACTCTCTCAAAATCAAATATTGATAGATACTTACTTATTTTTCAGGATTGTTGGAAATAAGTTTAAGCGGTTTTATAAATCTTGTCTTTCCAGGATTGTTGGATACAAGTGTAGTCACTTTGAGAGGATTGTTCTCATTGTTGACATAGTGAAAATCCAAGAGGATTGTTCTTGGTCCAAGATGATTGTTCTTGGATTTTTGGTAGTTCTTGTTTAAGTTTGCCACAATAAGGAAATCTCTTTCATGTTGAAAGGGGACTGAAGTACTCTCGGACTGTGAGGGGAACCAGGATATATCGCTTATGTCTCTTTATTTTTCTGCACTTTACTCTTTCATAAACTCACCATAATCCATAAAAATAATATCCATCATCACTAAAACCAGAATTTTTTAAAGTACCTAATTCACCCCCCTCTTAGGCGCACTTCGTACTTACAGAAAACTTTTATCATCACTACACGGAGGAGACATCTGAATTTTCTAAGTGCGTCAAGTATGAGAATGGCTTACGTTATGAGATCAAGAAAGCAATTGGGTATCAGCGAATCTGCAAATTCCCGGATTTGGTG